GTGTAAGCCTTGGTTGTAAATTCAGGTTACGCTGCAGCAGGTGCCTTCAGGGTAACCCCTGTAGTATTTCTGGGAATGACAAGTGCCTAAGAATTCAAACTCTTCAATAGACTGTTATGATGTGTTACTGGAATGTTTCTCAGTGAGTTCTTCTGTGCGGACCTGTGTTCTCTGCGCGTTTTGTGAGTTAAGAGTGTTGTTCACCTCGTATGAGTGACTTCGATTCAAAGTAGGAAGTCCAAACCGGGTTCCCTACGCTAGCAGACAACTAGTGGAAGGGTTGTAAAAGCCGGAGTTGGGAGTCATTACCCGCAGCTTCGCTGAGTGCACTCGCGAGAGACTTTCCCCCTAAAATCTTGAGTAGAGGTCCTAACGGATCTCTGGGTTGTGTTTCTGTAGTTTCAGGTCTGTGTGTGTGTGTGTTACGTTGCACTGTGCGACCTCCGAGTGCGCTCCGAGTGGACACTTGCAGTATTTCTGGGAGTGACAGTCGCCTGAGAATTCAAACTCCTCAATAGTCTGTTAAATGTGACACTTTGTACCCTGTGTGTTCCTCTGTCCCTGTGGGTTCGACCTTTCTACCACTATATTGCAGTTTTAGCCTTTAGTGGGTTATTACACAAATCCACGTCCGCTTTGGTAGCCTATCCACATGGAGTCGCCTACGCGTAGGCGGCACACTCATCCGCGCCGCACGTGGTTACTCCTGACCCGAAGGTCGTCTCTCCTCCGCCGAAGGCGTAGGGTGCCGTAGGGTGGTCTTCTGCCCCTTTGGCCGTCCGCGTAGTCCCATCCTTCTACGAGGACGGACTTCCCTTCTCTGTGGCGATCGTCGCCGTTTTCGCGCAGCTGGCTGGTAACAAAAGCCTGCGCGCCTTCTGCTTCGGCCGGCTGTAGACCTCGTGCAGTGGCCGCTTCCGGGTGAGAGCAGCTGATTCTTGATGTTGCTCCTTCTCCGGTTCCTCTCTCCATCTTTGCTTTCGCGGTACTCGCCCTGCGGATGCGTCTCTCCCCGCATCCTGTTGACCCGGTGGAGTGGAAGTCGGCGAATCCTCCGCGTCGGTGTCTACCTCGTTATCCCGCACATACCTCCCGGGATGGTCGACTGACAATGGCGGAAATCGAGCACGCTAGGCCACGGTTAAACAATTCATCGACCGATAAAAATTTTATCAAGAAGGGGGAGAGGTGATTGAGAGTTTCTCCCCGCTCCTCAAACGCATGCAGTCGCATCACCCTATGCAGGATACGCGACCAGTGAACTTGAGCTCCAGCCAATGTGAGCTCCACGAAGGACACCTGCCACAACGTGATGTACGTAGTGCGGTGCGGCTGCAACAATTGCAGCAGCGCCATCGCTACGGTCCTGCGGAAACGATCTTTGGTGTCGCGGGTCCTGTACCCGTTCTTGGAAGACCTCTCCCGCTTGAACAATTCCATGAAGGAGGCTTCGTCCGCCTTCGTTACCTTGACGCTTTCACTGTCAAACAGGAACCGAGGTACCGATGTAACCGTCCTCACCTGCGCACCTCCCCAATGCCAGTCCCCAATCGCGGAGAGTCCATCGATCTACGTGCGGACGGAATCCGCGCGTAGGTTGTCGTTCCTCGTCCAGCCATTCGCGCACCATGTCTGCGCACACGTAATTCCATCCCCACAGCAAGAATTCGAGTTTTCTTGCAATCAGCCGGTCCTCAAAGGCACGCAGTCCGTTCTGCGAGAGCTTGAGTGGCGCCCTCTGCAGCCTCACCGATGTCGACATCGCGTTCTTGAAATTGGTTTGCGCAACTCTCTCTCTGTTATGCCCGAGCCTCTTGCTAGCGATTCTGTTTCCTCTGCGAACTCTAATCTCTCTCAATTCCAAATGGCGCGCACTCAATTCTCTCCCAGCCACCGAGTAACTCTCTGCGCGGTGATGTCTAGAACGTCTCTCAGCTAGAAGGTGGACGCGCGCAGCTCGCACCAGAAATTGAAATCGCAAATTCAAGAATAGGGCGTCCTCTGTCCGCTCGCAGGAGGTCATGGTCGGCTCTCGGTCGTGAAAGTCGAATCACTTGATGGCCGCGCCGGCTCCGAGGTATAACGGCCTTCTCTCTCACGCGCGGCTTCACGCTCCGCCGACGGCGACTTCACTCACACGCTCGAATTGGTAATTTGAACTCCGCCAGCGTACCACGCCGCGGCCATGGTCGCGCAGCGCCGAAGGCGGATTTCTCGCCGACACTCTACACTCATCCGTACTTCAACTTGGCTAGTCCCGCTCGCCGAAGGCGTTCGTCCGCGCATAGGACAAAAGTCGAACTCCTTTCTGCGTAGGCGGAATCCCTGGCGGAGTTTCCGCCGGCGTCGAACTTCATCTGCCTGTGCGTAGGCACTCGCCTATGCGTAGGCGAATTCCGTCCGCACACAGGACGTTCGTCCGCGCAGGTTCCTTGCCGTAGGCGCAGCGCCGAAGGCGGCTCTGCCGAAGGCGTTGACCGCGGTCAACGCCCTCCGTCCTGTCTGTTCATCTCTCTCGCCTCTCCGTCGGCGCTCTTGTCTCCGGAACCCCGACCGGACGAAGGCGCACTCGTCCGTTCCGTCCGTACAGTCCGCACGGTCCGTACAGATTTTGCTACTCCGTTGGGTTCTCACCCAACCGTGATGCGCTGGCTCCGAAGGCGCCGTACAAGTTCCAACCCCGAAGGCGGATTCCTAGGGCCGAAGGCGGACTTCCCGCCGACGCCGAAACCCTATTTCGCCTATGCGTAGGCGAACTTTCCTCGTCTATGCGTAGGCGAAGGTCTTTGTTTCTTTCAACCGTCACAACTCCTTGAGTCCTGATCCGTTCCAAGCGTTCTAGGGCTCGTTAGAACCAGCGCGTCAAGCTCTTTCCAACGAAACCCTAACCAAGTCAAGGCGTTTGGGAATTGCTTAGATTCTGAGGGATTCCTCTAGCGCCGAAGGCGGATTATGCGCCTTGCGCCGAAGGGGTACTCCTTTAGAACCCGTCGTTTAGGGCGGCGTCTGTCCCAGACGTTGCGCCCAGCTCCTGGATTCTACGAGGTTCTCCGAGATCATCCAGTTTCACTCTATTTTGATGCACCGATGGCTATTTACAGTGCTGCCGCGGTACAGTTTTCCAAAAATGTTTTAAATTCCGCAAAAATACCAAAAGTGGGGTACCACAGCGAGCTTCACCCCAGGAGGCGGACTTCTAGGGCCGAAGGCGGATATTCCGCCGATGGCGAAGTGCCTACGCGCAGGCGAAGCCCTTCCGCCGAAGGCGGATTTCCCGGCAGACTTCCCGCCGACGACGAACTCCTTCCGCCTATGCGTAGGCGTTTGTCTTCGCATCTTCCAACAGTCACAACTCCGTAAGTCCTTATCCGTTCTAGGCGTTCTTAGGCTCGTTAGAACGAGCGTGTTGAGGTCTTTTCAACGAGACTCTAACCAAGTTGGGGCGTTGTGAATTGTATAAGCTCTGAGGGATTTCCCTAGCACCAAAGGCGTATCGCCGAAGGCGGATTATGCGCCTTGCGCCGAAGGAGAACTCCTTCATAATCGATCGTTCAGGTCGGGTGCCTGTTTCGGACATTGCGCCCAACTTTTGGATTATACGAGATCATGGGAGACCCGCGATTATCCATTTTCACTCTATTTAAATGTAGCGATCACCATTTACACGGCTACTGTGGTACTGTTTTTCAAAATTGTTTTAAATTCCGCACAAAAACAAAAAGTGGGTTACCACACTCAGAGCTAGTGACTAGTTAGAAATTTGAACAGTTCCCCCTTACACTTTCGAGAGATTGTTCCTGATTGTACTCCTTCGGGATTTTTCCCCTAAATGCCAAAGTGAAGTTTTGCTACTTCGAGTAAGCCTTGGTTGTAATTCAGGTTATGCTGCAGCAGGTGCCTTTAGGGCAACCCCTGTAGTATTTCTGGGAATGACAAGTGCCTAAGAATTCAAACTCTTCAATAGACTGTTATGGTGTGCTATTGGATCGTTTCTCAGTTGAGTTTCTTAGTTCGGACCTGTGTTCTATGCGCGTTTTGTGAGTTGAGTGTGTTGTTCACCGCGTGTGAGTGACTTCGATCCGAAGTAGGAAGTCCAATCCGGGTTCCCTGTGCTAGCAGAAACTAGTGGAAGGGCTGTAAAAGCCGGAATTGGGAGTCACTACCCGCAGATTCGCTAAGTGTATTCGTGAGAGACTTTTCCCCTGAAATCTTAAGTAGAGGTCCTAACCGACCTCTGAGTTGTGTTTCTATAGTTTCAGGTGTGTGTGTGTTGAGTAAACTACGCTGCACTGTGCGACCTCCGAGTGAGCTCCGAGTGAACACTTGCATTATTTCTGGGAGTGACAGTCGCCTGAGAATTCAAACTCTTCAATAGTCTGTTAAATGTGACACTTTGTACTCTGTGTGTTGACTCTGTCCCTGTGGGTTCGACCTTTCTACCACTATATTGCAGTTTTAGCCTTTGGTGGGTTATTACAAATATGCCAAATAACGTTGATTGGGCGGGCATTCAAAGTAAATTACATCATCATTCAAAATCATGTTCGAAGCCAATCAGATTGATGGTACTATTGCGGATGTGTATTATCCAGGGCTCTTGGCCCTTGGAGTTACAACAAAGTCTTCGAGGTACAACAAAGATCAAAAAAAGTTCAAGTCTTATTCCGCTACATGTACATCCACAATTCTCCAGGTTAGAACTCCACTTTAATACCAATGAGAAATCTCCGCTATTGTGGAATAATTAGGACAGAAAAACACCTACAATCAACCATCATTACAAGCACTAACCTTTGATAATAAGTTCGCAAGTACTGTCTATGAAAGGAAAAGATATAATATGTTTGCATATGGAGTTTGACTTTCCTAACTACTCATTATGATTGACATTCGTATCAATAACGGATCAACATAAATAATCTGCTCACACTGAAGATGAGAGTATCAAAAAAGAAACATAAAAATCCAAAGATTTATTTAAACATTTCATTTAAAAAACAACCAGCTCATCCAGACTAACATAAACTTAAAATGGCATTCCAGTTGTTAAAATCGATGTAAAGCAAACGACATATACTTCGGTGAACTGATCTGTCCTGAAACTCCCATAACTTCTCTTCGGACTTCCACTACGTCCTCTTCTACGATAGAATCCCCCATTTCCTATTACAGATGTCTCTGCTGCTGTGTTATCCAATCCTGCTCTGCATTTACTCCGGGCGCTGGAATTATCACACTCCAAGGGTCGTGAAAAACATGTGGCAGAAATCCCCATAAATGAAACTCATGGGCTGCGCGAAAAGGAGGTTCGGGTAAGAAAAACATCATGTCGACTTCAGCCCAGTATTTCGCCACCTCAAGGTCTTCCCCTTCTTCCTCGAAAACGAAGAACACATCACTGCCTCCCGAAGCATAAATTTTGAAAGCTCTGCCATCCTCCATAACCCATAGATCTCTTGTTCTGCTGATCAGAGATCCATCCATTCTCCGGACCATTGGATGGCGGAGAAAGTTGCCGTCATAGCTCCTATGATCAAACGCCACATCACTCCAATCCATGGCGAGTAAGCACACAAATCCTTCATACGCAACAATCTGAAGGGCACCTGGCTTGTCCTCCATGACTTCCTCTGCCAAAACATTCCATGTTTCTTCTCTGAGATCAAATATCAATAGAGCCTTAATCGTGACCTTGGGATCCCATACGAGCCAATACAAACATCCATTACATACTACACATTTCTCACTGTGCCACTCTACTTCCATCCAGTTTGACAAGGTAGGAAACGGATGAAGTATCCACGACCATGTACTGGTAGTCGAATCGTAAATCAAAGATCTGCTTCTATCTGGGACTAGAACTCCTCCCAAAACCAGCTTGAAGTGTTTTGTTGATTGGTCCACGACTAAACCCACCATGATGCACTCAAGCATACCATCGAAGAATGTAGACACTCCATCGATTTCATGAGGTACGTTTAAAGTCAGGAATTTGTCCTCAACAGGGTTATACATGACATATTCGGTTGACAACATGTCATTGAAACACAGTAGGCCTCCATCAGCAGCGACCACGTGCTTGGGCCCAAAGGTAATACTTCTTCTGATCCATCCGTCAAGAAAACAGAAGTACGCCGAATTGTCAATATATTCATCATAATACAAAATAACAGATTTATTCCAGATTTTGTTCCGTAGCTCCGGACCATCTATCATTGCCTTCCATTTCTTACAAACTACACGACATTCCACAAGAGTGATAATTGGCAGATCCTGATCTCTGAGAACCTTAGTTAGTAATTCAACAGGTAAGGAGTCCAATAAATCTTGAGGTCGATCCTGTTCTCTTTCAAGTTCCATTGAAACGAACGAGCTCGAAAGGATGATACATATGAATGTCATATCTAAATCAAATCTGGAACATCTCAGAAGGGACAGTAATACACTGATTACCAATAAGTGTATTGCGAGTAAGTCCGTAGAATAAGTCTCACGCTCGTTGCCACAGATCGGCTCAGATGAAAAAGATCTGATGCTACGATAAGTTCATCTGTGCGATGTGTGGTCGAGAGAAGAGTGGTATCAGTAGCGAGGAGTGGAAGGTCAGACTACGGGAGAGAAGTTTCTGTCATGTTCGGAGATCTAATGTCCTGGAACGAAACACGGACTACTGTAGTTAGGCGTGACTGTGGGTGAGTTACGCATCGGTCATATCAACATTTCAATTTGTATTCGGTGTACGTTTAACTTTCATTTCACAATTTGAAGTACAAACATACTCGTTCGGAAAGCGAAATACGAACTTTCATAATTTTTTCAAATGCCGACTATCTTATGATTTTCAATAATAATTTGAGTTTAAATCTGAATGACGTACAAGCTCAATTTTACATGAAATCATAATAATTGCTTATTTCCAGAGGAGATTTATTCGAACTGGGAACAATGACCAATCACTCTCTTAACTCCACTAAGGTAAAAATATAGTCTAACTGATGTTCGTAAGAAAACTAGAGAGCGCTTTCATGGTAGGAAGGTAATCAACGCACTAATTACCAGTATGAACCTTGTTGACATACTCGTGGAAATGTGTGTTCTGGTTAACCTCACTTCTCCCCTATTGTGGGGCTAAAGCAGTCTGGATTGTGGTGTTATGATTGCACAAAGGACTGCCAAAAATCTTTGATTTAACGGCTCCTCACTTAGATCTTCCCAAGCCAAAATGTGTCTTTGTTCCAAAACAATGATGAAAATTTGAATTTGCAGTGTGAAAATGTCTCCAATGTCATATGTTTACACTCACATTTGGATGTGAATTACAAATCATACCTTTTGCTTCATTTTCCCGAAATTCTAAATCTAATTTCCACATAAAATGTACACAATATCATTCTGCTCATAATTATACCACACTCAAAAGACTATTCGACTCAAATTCACTATTAAAAACAGAACTTATCGTTATTTAGAAAGTCTATTTTCAATCATAGTCGCAATCTCAAACCCTCAAATTCAGGAAGTAATCTTTCATAAGTCTTCATTTGAACTCTATTCCTTAAATTCCATGGAATTTTTTTTTTCATTCAAATAGATCACAGTGAGATTGCAATCATACCATCAAATAAGCAAAAAATAATCTTCAAACTCCTATTCTGGGCTAAAAAAAATTTTGATTTCTCCACTGGCTATTTTTATACTTGACCTTGTCCTTCATTAAACTTTAATTCTATCCTTGAGACTTATGTAAATTAATTTGCTTGTGGACATAAAACATAATTTAGTACCCATACTAGCTCAGGTTCTTATTGCAACAATCATCTCTGAAAAGAAAGTTGTTGCTATATAAGTTAAGAGAAAAGACATGCACATGCAAATCTCATCACAAAGTACATTATGGTGATATAAAACGTAACCAAGGGAAATAACTTACAATCTTATTTTATACTAGATCTCTATATACTCGTTGAGAACGCTGGCTCCAGAAGTGTGGACAAGAGAAGAGTGATAACACTGACGAAACAGTCGATTATCAGATAAAGGACAGAAAACGGGAGAGAAGTTCCCGTCACTGAAGTCGCAAACTTTGAAATACATCGACCTTAACACCGATTAGTCTCCGTTGACAATTACTTATGCATCGGTCATCTCAGCATGTCATTTCAGCATGTTACTTAGGTGTTCGTTAAACTGTCAATTTCACTTTTGAAGTATAAACATACAATTAACATGTTCAAAAACATTCTCTCAATAGTACTCCGTCTAGGTATCTTTCGATTTTTATTGATAGTCTGAAATTAGTCCGGACCATCTATCATTTCCTTCCATTCATCACAAACTGATCGACATTCTACGAGACTGAAAAATAGGAAGATCCTGATCTCTGAGAACCTTAGTCAGTAATTCAATAGGTAATGTGTCCCATAGATCTTGAGGTCGATCCTCTTTCCTTTGGAGGGCCATTACGACGCACGAGCTTTAAAGGATGATGTATAAGAAGGTTCGTCTCTGAATCGAATCTGTAACATCTCAGAAGGAAACAGTTATCAGTCAATTGCAATTAAGTCTTGACCAAATTATCATGCTCGTTGACAAATATAGGCTCAGATGAGAAGGATTGTAAGATGCAATAATTTAATGTGTGCAATGTGTGTAGTAGAAAAGAGTGGTAACTCTTACGAACAGTCGATGGTCAGACTACGGGAGAGAAGTTCCTGTCATGTTTGGAGATCTGATGTTCTGGACGGAAACACGGACTACTGTAGTTAGGCGTGACTGTGAGTGAGCTATGCGTCGGTCATCTCAGGATTTCACTCTGAATTCGGTGGACGTTTAGCTGTTATTTTCAGAAATTGAAGTACAAACATAGTAGTTGGGAACGTTAACGACTAACTCTCATATTTTTTTCAAAAGACTACTCTGATGAACTATCTTCTGATTTTCATAATACTTTGAATGGAAATCTGAATGAAATAAAAGCTCATCCTTGTATAAAGTGGTATAAATTGCTTATTTTTAGTGCAGATTATTCGAACTTGAAAAAATGACTGATTACTCTCTTGAGTCCAGTTATATATATATATATATATATATATATGGAGTCTAACTAATGTTCGCAGGAAAACTAGAGTGCGCTAGAGTTAGGAAGGTAATCAACGTGCTAACAACCATGAAGAACCTTGTTGAGATACTTGTGGAAGACGGGCTTTTTTTTAACAGAAAAACCCTCATAGTTAGTAAATTGACGATATTTCAAAATTTTTCTCTGAACATAAAATATGAAGCTATGACTGTTCTTATCCATATGATATGACGGTTCTTCTACTTCAAATAAGATCAATCTGAACTTATTTGAGGTCAATTGAATTTGAAACTGATATATAGTTCTATTCTACTAAAACAGTTGCTACATTAATGTAGTCTCTACGAGTAGAATGTAGAGATGCTAAGGCCTAAAACTTGATGATCACTGTTACCCCAAGGGAAATAAACAAACTTAGTTATCGAGAAATTATCAGACAATGATATTGTTCATCTCAACGAATATGACAACGACTTGGTGCCTTTTGATCAGCAACTGTCGAGAATTGTCGAGGTCGCTGTTCTCATGTTCTTCAGATCAACGGAATACATGAAATTGGACGGAAAGTCAGAAGACAATACTGAATGGGTTGAAAATTTCCGTTTTCAGCATATAAAGAAATCCAAGTTGCATTGTGGATGATATTCATCCCTTTGTCAATTTGACCTACAGTGTACTGGATTGTGTAATTACGTTCAGAAACAATGTAGCTATATCTTTACCTTGAATCCTAACTGGATGGAGAATGACATATAAGGTTATTTATCAAGTAAAAGACATTTTTTCCGCTTATCGGAAGAGTGATCAGAATCCACTGTTTTACCCTCTCAATCTCAAACCATTGGCATCTTATCATGCCTGCACAGAATTACTTGTTGAAAGAACCATATTTCGGTGAGCTGATCTGTGCTGAAGGTTCGAAGAAACCTCCTTCTCATAGAAATTTCATTGCCACGTCAACCTGATTGCCCAAAAGCTTGCCTAAGAGCGTCCCTAATATATTGCCTAACAGCTTCACGCGTCTCCTCCTGCCGATGTCTCTCCTGCTGTGCTACATACTCTTGCTGTCTTATCCACCCCTGCCTTGCACTTCCTCTGGGACTTGGAATTATTGCACACCAAGGGTCGTCGGGGCTCGGAGCGTACACAAAGTGTTGAACACGATTGCGTGAGTGAAAAGGAGGCTGGGGTAGAAAAATTATCCAGTCTAATTCAGCACAATATTTCACCACCTCAAGTTCTATACGTTCTTCATCGAACACGAAAAATGCATCACTGCCTCCTGTGGCGTAGAAGTTGAAAACTGTGGGATAATCTAGATCCCAGTGATCTAAAAATCTCCTGGTAACAGCTTCATCGATTGCTTCGTCCATGTTCCATGGAAATCTCCGTCTCCTGAACAAAGCTCGATTATATAGATTTTTTACTCTCCTGAACAATGCTTCATCCATTCTCCGGACCATGGGATTCCGGAGGAAATTGGCGACATCGCTCCTACGTTCAAACTCCCCTGCCAGAGGAGACCAATTACTGGCAAGTAGGCACACATGTCGTTCATACGCAGCCATTTGAAGGTCAATTGGCGTGGCCTCCATGGATTCCTCTACCAAGGCGTTCCACGTTCCCTCTTCCAGATCAAATATCAAGAGAACCTTCATCCTGCACCAATAGCGATCCCATAGTAGCCAATAAAGACATCTATTACATACTGCACTTCTCCTACAGTCCCACGCGTCTTTCATCCATTCAGGAAACGGATGAATTCCCCACGACCATGTACCGTTCGTCGAGTCGTAAATCAAAGTTCTGCGTCTATCTGTTCCGACTTGAACTCCTCCCAAAACCAGCTTGAAGTTTTTTGTAGATTGGTCCACGACTAAACCCACCACCTTACACTTCAGCATACCATCAATGACTGTATGTTCTCCATTGATTTCAAGAGGTACGTTCAAAAACAGGATTTTGTCCGAAACTGGGTTGTACATGACATATGCTGTTGAGATTCGTTCACCAAAACACAGTAGGCCTCCATCAGCAGCGACCAGCTTCTTCGGCACAAATCTGAGATTTCTTGTGATCCATCGATTTCTACAGCAGAAGTGGGCCGTATTTTCACGACGTGCATGAAACATAATAATAGAATTTTTCCATATTTTGTTCCGTAACTCATGACCATCTATGACTTCCTTCCATTTTTTACAAACTGAACGACATTCCAGAAGAGTGGAAATTGGCAGATTATGATCTCTGAGAATCTTGATCAGGAAATCGATAGGTAGACTTTCCCATGCATCTTCAGGTTGATGCTGATCCCCTTCGGGTTCCATCTCAATGAACGAACTTTTGAAAGATCATACATATGAATTCGTTTCATCTCTGCATCTGCAATCTGCAACATCTCAGAAGGATTGAGTACTCGGTCAATTGTGAGTTAAAGTCGACGAGAATTCTCACGCGGATTAAAACAGATCTGCACAAATGAAAACAACTGTGTGTTGCAATATCTGCATATACACGTGTGAAGCAGCTGTCAAACTTGAGAACGCTGGTTGCAGAAGTGTGGACAAGAAAAGTGTGATAACACTAACGAAGCAGTCGAATGTCAGATAAGGGACAGGGAATGGGAGAGAAGGTCCCGTCACTGAAGTTCCGAACTATGAAGTTATCGACCTAAACACCGACTACTATCGGTTGAAATTGACTTGTGCATCGGGTAATCTCAGCAAGTCATTTTGGATTAGGTGTTCGTTTAACTGTCAATTTCACAGTTTGAAGTATAAACATACTATCTACAAGTTCAAAAACATTCTCTCAACAGTAGTCCGTCGAGCTATCTTTCGATTTTTATTGATAGTATGAAACGCATTTTGTACTAATAGTATTACTGAATTTAAGCATTCTGTCAAGAGTAAATACGTTCGAATTTTAAAACCTGCCTGATAACACTTCACCTCCACATGGGGTATCGACATATTTTCAAAATTATTCCTCTGTCAGTGGATTTGCAGAAGTCATTTGGTTTACAGTTTTAAAGTTTTGTTCATCAACCCACCTACCATCCTTGCATTGTTAAACTCAATATCAAACAAGCAATTCTTAATTGCTTGTTTGATATTGATTGGAATAATTAAGTCCACAGCAATCATCTTTGTGGCAATATATCTCTAATCATTGCTTTCGAAGCTTAGTTTTACAACATATGTATAAAGAACCTCACATCTTTTACAAAGAAAATAAGTCCTACGTTATGAGTATAATAATGATTGTGAGATTAGACTTTGTCAAGAACTTGTATTTGACTTTAACACCAATCACACTATAATCAATGTCTATCACGAAGGTATGTAGCGGGTTTACTATAAGTATGCTACTTCAGATCAAAAAAATTGTTCTATGCTATAGCAGTTTTATTCGTAACTTACAGTCTATTATTTTGATGACGTCCCCATAAACGCAAATTTAGCTTACAGATTATTTTAATTTCCTCTACATTCATTCCAATCCAAGTGCAATGACTTATTGCTGTCCCCAATAGATTCCTAGAGTATTTCAACTTCCATTTAAATCAATCAAACTTTCAGAAACACTTGCAAACATTTTTTTGCGTATAAAGATGAATGTTTGGTATACAATGAATAAACCGAGTAGGTCATTTTGTATTATTTGTGTCTGTTTTACCTACTAATGCCTCTATATACTTATAAACATCAACCCAATCTCATTACATTCTAATGTACATCTTACGTTTGCACCACAAAGAAAGTGTAATAAAAAATAAGATAAAAAGTGAATGTTGGTGTAGTAGCATATGAAATATTTCAATTTGGAATAAGGAAATATCTTTTTGAACTATTTCACAATTCAAAGTGAAAAGTAAATACTAGGGTGCCTTGAAATCCACACAAAGCTAATCCACTCTACACTAAAAAGTCAAAACAATTCTTATAAACAAAACTATACTCCTCTTCACCCCGCAAGAGTCAATGATCATTTATTTTCAAAAAAGCTATTTGTTAATTCATCATTATACATAGTAATATAGTCACGTGCTACTTGTTGACTCTGTGATTCAAGCTCTACTTGCTGTCCCATGCAAGTGCCAATTCCATTTCCTAACGTGTATCTTCAAAGTGACAGATAGCCACCTTTTTTCTCTAACGGTGAATGGCCTCTATTTCAATTAGTGGTACAAGCTTCATTTGAGTAATTCCGTTTCAAATCCATGATAAAAGTGACAAATTCGGCCAAAGCTTACTAGGTGTTCAGATAAGCTAGAAAGTTCCCTTTATTGCAATTTTATTGATCCAATTAAATTTCTAGAAAAAAATGTCACTACTTTTTGTTGAAGAAGCTCGTAATCTGCCGGTGTTAGTTGGATATCGTGTGTAGAAATTTCTCATCATGCCGTAAGTAGATCTAAGAAGGCTAAAAAAAGAAACAATAATTAAACTGATGATGATATGTGATTCAAAGCTGAAATTATAGTGATCAGACCGATTACAATTGCAAACCCAAATGAAATTTTTATTGCAAAAACCATGGATACAACATGAGAACAAAAACTTCACCAATCTGTCGGCTCAATGACAAGAACATGATGAAGATCACCACCGCAGCTAAAAGCAAAAAAAAATTGCACGTCTTGTTGATGAAATTTCCACAAATTTTTGGAATTCCAACCTAAAAAAGATCCACAAAAGCGTGTGCCAAACAAATTTGCAACAAAAAGTGTACCACATAGTTGACTGTGCGACAAGTTGAGGAAATTCAAGCGTAGTTTGCTCAAAAACACAAGGTTGGAACCTATAGCTGGTTTCCTAATAAATCCATATGTGATAGTTCATCAATTTTTCTCACCTTGGCAAAAATAGATCTTTCAAGTTTGTTGTTCAGCCATCAACAGGTTCGTAAGACAGTGGAATGTGCCCAAATCTATAGGTAATTTTTCACTCAGTTGATTGCCTGAAACATCTAACAATATCAGTGTTCCCATCACGTATGTTTACGTCAAAGGATTTACTTCTTTTCCCAGTGATATCGTTTCCAAAAACATCGCTTCTGGAACTTGTGCCCCCCACCAGGGAGGTTTCTCGAGGCTTTTGTCCACGGTGCGCGCTTGTAGGTCGTAACGTTGTGGATTCAGAGCATGGAACTTTGTTATCACCCCGAGAAATGGTTTCAACTGAAATCCATCAACTCCAGATAAGAACAATTAAAAAATTTAACTGGAAAAAAATTATTTAGTTAAATCTCGTTTAGGAATTACATTTCCAGACATTGCAGACCAAATATATGTCTAATACCTACTCTTTGCAAAAACATTAAAATAACTATTTCTCTTTTAATATCTTAAAAATAGCAGGCTCATATAATTTGGAGAAAATGTTTTATGGATGATTTTTCTGAACAAGCTCTTTCCGATATATTTTAATCTTAAATCTTGTAATTAAGTGTTTTTTGAATTCATTTTACCAGTATTTACTTAAGTTTTTTTCCTCGATTTTGATTAAATGCATGACTACTGGAGATCGTTTTTCCACTAGGATGAGCTTGTTCTATATAGATTGGAATAGTTATGTCTACGGCAGTCAACTTCGTGGCAATATATGTGTAATCATGGCTTTCGAAGCTTAGTGTTACAATTTATGTACAAAGGACTTCACATCTTTTACTAAGATAAGAAGACATATGCTATAAGTAGCATAATGACTTTGAGATGGTTGTTTGGAGAAATTATCTTATGAATGGTTTTTCTCAACAAGTACTTTCCAATATTGCACATCTCAGGCCGCTTGATGAAATATGCTGCATAGCAAATTAATCAAAATAGAGATGAGTAAAATTAGCCTGGTATGATCACCACACTATGAACTAATTCCGGAACTTGATAATTGAAGTCTTTCAATGAGTTTTAAAGTAGAGTAGCTAATTTTACTCAATATGTATATTCCAACTTATTAATTTTTGTATCCAAAGGACATTGAGTTTGATTATTTTGCGAATACATTATAGAAAAGTAACGCCATGTAGGGCAAATTTCATATGTTTAATTGTAATAACCCACTAAAGGCTAAAACTGCAATATAGTGGTAGAAAGGTCGAACCCACAGGGACAGAGGAACACACAAGGTACAAACTGTCACATTTAACAGACTATTGAGGAGTTTGAATTCTCAGGCGACTGTCACTCCCAGAAATACTGCAAGTGTTCACTCGGAGCTCACTAGGAGGTCGCACAGTGCAGCGTAACACACACACACACACACACACCTGAAACTACAGAAACACAACCCAGAGATCGGTTAGGACCTAGAGATGTTAACCATCCGAACCGGTTCGGCCTTGGTAGCGATCTGATTGGAACCGGTTCGGCCACGTCCCCGATCAAATTGGAACCGGTTCAACACGGTTTCCGAACCGGTTCGAACCGGTTCTGGAACCGGGTCAGCATCGGATCTATATGGAGTAATCAGACAGGGAATCCAAAACTAGGTTACCGACTAGAATCAAATACGACAGTCGACATGTTTGAAGACAGTTGCTGTCTTGACAGCCGACGACGGAATTGCTCCAACCTTCTGCAGACTGATGAGTTATAATGGAGTTGCAATAGTACTGCTGCACTATTAATATATGAAGGCTTGGGCGGCGCCCAAGCCGCCCAAGCCTTACTGGTAATCTTAGCGCCCAATGGGCGCTAAGATTACCAGTCGTGACGGGAATTGCGCGCGTGACTACTGTTGCCGATCCGACACCGGTGTGTGCGGGTGTGCCGGCACCCTCCCTCATAGTGGCAAGTCGTTCTCGCTTGCTATCGTCAATCATCCGCGCCAGTCCAGGAATCGACATCGTCACGCACTTCAAGGCGCAGCACCGTAGGTGGCCTCGACATCTTCATTGACATCATGAGCGCTGCGGAAGAAACCATTGTCGTCTCAAGTGACGATGGCAGCGAGGATTTTGACTCCGATGATGAGCAGGAGCCGCCGTCTGACGATGAGCAGGATGCGGCGAGCAAAGCTGCGTCTGCATCCTCGGCGAGCGGTGGCTGTGCACACGCCGACGTTTACAAGCACATCAAGGAGCGTCCAAACGGCATGTTCGAATGCACGCCATGTCACAACAAGAATGAGAAGCAAGTGTGGCGCAACAGGAGCACATCAAACTTTCGCAAGCATTTGATCAACCATCACAGCGCCATCTACACGCCGCAGGATCCCACGCAAACGACGTTACGTCATCATGGATTCAAAGGGCAACCAGGCAAACGCAAGACGATGTCTTCAAATGATTTCACCATCGCCGACAAGACTCTCGCCGACAGAGTCCTATCGAATTGGATAGTCAATCACGCTCAGCCGTTCACTGTTGTTGAACATGCCGACTTCGTTGAGTTTTGCTCGACATTGCGCGGAAGCTATTCGCTGCCAACGCGAAACACGCTGCGCAATCGTGTCATCCAGCAATGGACGGATGAGAAAAATCGCGCCCGCGTGACAATTGAAGATGAATGCGGTACGCGTCGCAGCGGTACAACCAGTGACATGTGGACCTCAGTGGCGAAACGCGGATATATGGTCGTCACCTTGCACTACATCGACGACAAGTGGTGTATGCGATCTG